ATATGATCCTATGATCCCATTTTGGAGAAGTACTATTTACTCCGAGACATTTTGAGATAAAAACCTACAATTGATTTGGTCTATTAGGCCATTGTAGTGTGTGACCATATTCTTGGTCAAAAGTCACTTTGGTCTCTGTATTTTGCCTTTTTTTTTTCACTTTTGGTCTCTTTAGTTTCATTTCGGTCAATTGTGCCCTTATAGTTTCACAATTGTAGCAATTTAAGGACAAGTCACGAATTCCGTCAACTTCTTTCACGGGATCAGAGGTATATTCGTCCATTTATGTCATTTAAACGTCATGGCCAAGTAGAAACTCCCTATTTCATGTTAAGGTGCGAAAATGAGAATTTCGATTTAGGACTTTTCCAAAACTTGGGTTCATGTTGTAAGATTTGGGGAAATTTGTCGAGGGCTTGAATTGAGGACAACCTAAGAGTGAAATAAATGTCAAAAATGGACGGAAATATCCCAAAGACCAAAAATAAAACAGAGACAAACTACAAGGATTAAAAAAATGACATTTTGACCTTTCTATGCTTAAAAACAAATTCAGTTGAGGTAGAATGGAACCACCAGTTGAAATTAAAAAGTTTTGAAGGGCATTGAATATGAAAATATGGACCACAGTCCAACAGCCGTAGGCTCTGTGTTCAAGTCAACTTGCACTAAGCTTAAAAGCAATTAATTTCCTTTGGAGGCACTGAAAAAAGGCATGGCTCGAGTCAAGCCCTGCCATGGCCTAAGCAACTGGGGCACTGGTCAAGTATTTCTCAACTGACTTACAATAAGCTCCTACGAAACCATTAACGCTTCATATATTAAATGATTGTCATTTACTATAAGTTACTACATGAATCAAATGAATTATTTGTACAATTGTGGCTGATGACATGACCAACATAGAGTCTTTAAGTGTTTTGCAGACCTAGACGCCGACCAATGGACAAAAACTATTCAATAATACTAGAAACATCAAATTTTTAAGACCAAATAATGCGACAATTTTTTATCTGATTTGAATTTAATTTTGATTATTAAATTATTTTAATGCCATATCGAGTGTTTTTCATTTTTTTAATGAGATTTTGGAGTTGGGATTGTTTTAAGAAATTGTAAGGGCGAGAGGGTGGTGGACCAATCTAGGGAATCTTGTGGAAGATGTACGGCGTTTGTTGGTGACTTGTGAGGTGTTAGAAGTGATCCACCAGCCGCGGCAAGGGAACAATGCGGCTCATCTATTGGCATAGTATGGGTTGAGAGAAGGCCTTAGGTTTGTGTGGGTAGACGCTGCTCAACCTTGGTTGGCGTCTGCATTAGCTTTGGATTGGGTTGAGATTTGAAATTTTTTTTGTTTTACGGCAAGCGATGTGGTACTCTATTTTTTTTACTGGATTTTTCCCTTTGCGGTTTTATAGCAAGATTTAAATGAAGCCACATATAGCTCCTTCCCCTGTTGATTACTTGGGTTGTATGTCTGTTTTCAGTTGCTAGTGAAATTCCTCTTTTGATAAGAAAAAAAATATATTGATGATAGTTTTGTAATTTATAGGAAGTTTGAAGCCTTTTTGTTATATTATAAATATATTTTGAGTGTGTTTCTAAAATCTATTTCATATAAGATTTTTATATAATTTGAATTTCTATATTAAGTATAATTGTGAATCTCCTAAAAATTATTTGCGTTTTCATTCAGGCTAGGCCTGACTTGACAGTGATAATTCAGAAAACCTTTTCTTCATTAATTTAATTTGGGTAGGGGTTCAGAAAAGTCTGAATGAGAGAGAGACTAAGAAAGCTAGTATGGGCCCAAACTAAAATTTTGAACTTATGGACCAAAGCACATAATGATGCCTGGGTTGGGCCTGCCTATATATGCTGTAAATTTAATCAACGGCTATGAAGTCGCTTCTGTGTTCTAATGTTGTATTATCCACGGCCAATGAACCCCACCACTTAGATCTCTTGCAAGACATAAAGATAAGATTAGCCGTTGATCTGATCACAACCACTCATTGTTGGTGTTAGATTGCTTTCCATTTGCTTAATCCAATCGTATAAAGAAAAAACTCTTTCCATGTGAATGGAGGCACAAAGTAAAACAATTAAAAAACAATATCCAGCAAAGGACATACTAGTGTAGTGGTTTGAGGTAATTACTTCCTTAGGCAATATCTTGGGTTCGAGTTCTAGTATCCGTGTAGTGTGTGTGAGTTTAATATACTCCTCTCAATAGAAAGTAGGGGTGGGCATGGTACGGTATTGAGCCCGTACCGCTACTGATACCGGAAATTTAAATCGGTATGGTACGGTAAGGGATTATGGTTTGTCAAAATTGGTACCGTACCGTACTATGCTAAAGCTGTATCGGTACCATTTCGGTACCAAAATGATACAACTAAAAAATGAACCAATTCAATATTCAACACCAAAATAAGTGATGCCTAAGTTACAAATTCGAAGGTTCAATATATTCAATATTCAAATCCTAATCAATGTATTCAATATCCAAATCAACCAAATCAATATTTATCCATCAACAGATTCATCAAATCCAAATGGTTAAAACTCATGTCTTATGGCTTACAAACCAAAATAGTTAAAATTATGTCTTATGGCTTACAAAAATACAAACACAATCCAAACATAAATGACAAAAACATAAAGTTATACTATTCGGTACGGTATGGTATTGACCGGTACCAAAATCTTGATACCGCTACCATACCATACTTTATTGGTACGGTACGGTACAGTACCGAATATCTCCTCATACAAAATGAAACAGTATGAAATCGGTATGGTATGGTGCGGTTAGGGTACGATTTTGGTATTTCGGTTTAAGATACCTACCCATAATAGAAAATGTCCTAAAAAAAAAAACAATATCCCTTTTTTTTCCTTATATGAAAAAGACTATTATGTACAATATTTACTGATCACATTATAGTCAAATTTTCAACCCATTTTTTAAATTTAGCTCTTCCAATTCAGAAATTTGACTCATCTATTGACAGATCACATCTTGAATAGAAGTGTGAATCATCAAATTCAGTGAATATCACATTTATTAAAGATAGAATATGAAATGTGAATGCGAAGAATCAAAGTTATGCTATTGTGTTTTCAACAAAAGTCATGTTTATGGCATATTTTTATGTGTAACATGGTCCTTTTATTTCCCAAACTTTTGTTCTTTTTAGCGATGAGTAAAACTACTTAAAGTTTCAACTTTTATTTCCGAACTTATGTCACACTTGATGTGCACAACGTATAATTACATTAGAAACCAACCATGATAAAAAATTTAACACAACAATATCATGTTACTCGGAAAATATAACATTGTTATTTGAATGTAATCACAATATCAGTAAAACAAAACACAATAATTACATCATTATCACTAGATTGTGACATATTATAGATTTCTCCCAAACATATCAAAATTAGGAGGCAATAAAGCAATTTAAACATAATCTCATATGATATTCCAAGAGCACTTTAACTTCTTAGAGCAGCAAAAGGGAGATGATGTTGGAAAGCTGAGTAGCCTACGGCCCTAAGCAGACACAAATGTCAGGCCTAATGTTTTTGCACCAAAAAAATCAACTAAAAAGAGGCTTGTATTTTAAGCAGTTAAGAGCATTTATTCATGCATCCGAAAATATTAGGTTCGATTTCCCTAACTCAATATTGCTCATACGTAAAATAAAAAAAATAAAAAAAGCCAAACAAGCAGCAAATAATTTACTGAGTGAGTCAGTTTGACTCGCCCCCTCTACGTTGACTAGTTGGGAGGAAGGCTACTGCTTTGCTAGTTGTGTAAATAAATTGTGTGTGGATGGACAATTGAGGCATAATAATTAAAAGAATTATTATTATTATTATTATTATTGGGTCTAAATAATTATAAATGCAAGAAAATGACGGGTCATCTTCTTGCTGTTACTAACTCTGTCGGGCCTTTGCTTCGCGGGCGGTCCCCGCCGTGCCCGCCCTATGGATAGATTCTAAATATCAACTTTACGGCCCAACGGAAACCAAGAGAATTCATTCTAAACAATTTTTTTTCTTTTTTTCATGTGATTAAAAGATAGGCCAATCAATCAATGTTATGAACATGTATCATCAAGGAGGCTGATTTTGTTGCGGATGCGACTATGAATACGGGACATTTTCATGCTTCTTTCTTGGACTCAAAATTATACGTTCTTACTTAAATTTGGACATACATCTTTCTCTAGTTATTAGGAGTGTCGTTGACTTTTTTTTAGTATAAGCGATAGTCTAAATTACATAGGGTGTCGTTGTCGTTGATTGTAATGTTTATGTTACTTTTTCTCATAAAAAGTTGCAAGGATGAGAATGTCTTAACAAGTGAGGACTTAAGTATCATTATTGGTGTAATTTTCTTCGTTTTCGTTGTAATATGCGTAAGGTATTAACCTCCATTTACTAAATTAGGTGACTAACACACTGTATTCTTTCAAATATTATATTCGATAGGAATATGAATAATCATGAGATATACGTTGGATGACTTACTAGATTCAAAGTATACTGAAGTAAGAAATGAAGAATGGCAACTTCCAAATTCTGTCCAAATTAAAAGTAGATGATGACTTAGTCATGAAAGAATGATAAGTTTTCAAATTTGGATGCCAACTTCAAAATTTTGTCCGCAAAGTTGTCTCCATTTATTCTTTCAACCTAATTCAATTCTAAACACCAAACACACTGTGAATCCTCACTGGTGTCCGTGACCAGCAAGACCTTGTTATTAACAAGAAGATGTTAGATGGAAATGAAATGCATGTACAATATCAATTAAAAGTGCAAAAGAGAGAAAAAAATAGTTGAAAGGTAAAACTTTAAAAAACGAAAAAGGAAAAAAAATGGAGGCAGCGTTTGCCAAAGGGTGGTGGTCCCCATTGTTCATTTCCTCCTTTCACCTCTCTCTCTCACCTCAACTCAGCTCTCAACGAACAGTACAAATGGAGGTAACAAATACCCGTATAATTAAACAGGACGCCCAAAACAGGCAAAGTTCCTTTCTCTATACTTCAAATGGTTGAGAAGTAATCTCTCTTCACAAAACCAACACACTCTCTCTCTCTCTCTCTCTCTCAGAGACAAACACAGAAACATCTTGACCGCCATAGCTATCTCTCTCTCTCTCTCTCTCAATATATTTCTACCCATTTGGCCATTTTGCCCACATTTGCTTCCTGTTCCCTCCTCTCTCTCTTTCTCACTCATTTCTCTCTCGAAATTGCACAGTTCGTTTCAAAACCTTAATCCAGTTACTGGGTTTTGCTTAATTAACACCACTACTCTTTGTTTGAGCTCAGAATTTTGAGAAATTAGATCAGAATTGAGCTCTGTTTTGGTTCAATTTGCCGCCCAATTTCCCAGCAACCCATGGACCCAACCGGAGCAACCGTACCCGGATCCATTTTACCAGGACCCGAGTTCGAGTCCCTCCAATTCCGAGAAGAAATCCACCGACTCATGGCCGTGCCACCGGAGAACGCCAGCTCCTTCACGGCGCTTCTAGAACTTCCGCCGACCCAAGCCATGGAGCTCCTCCACCTCTCGCCGGAGGCCAACTCTACTCCGACTCCGGCCGCCATGTCCGGCGAGGCGCGCGTCCAACACCCTTTCAATTCCAGCCTCACCTTCCCTACAAACCCCGCCTTAATCGAACGCGCCGCCAAGTTCTCGATCTTTGCCGGAGAGGGCTCGCCGGAGACAAGCTCCATGCCGTCCAACTCCGGCGCGGATTTGGAGAAGGTGAAGACCGAGCCGGTCGAGACCGATTCGAACCCGAACTCATCCCAGCTAACGCTTGACGCGACCAAGAACAACCAGAGGTCCTCGGCGAAGAGAAAGGAGCGAGAGAAGAAGGTACTAGTCCGATCAATTAGGGTTTCTAGGGTTTACTTTTCGCCCTTTTCGCGATTTTGCTGAATTTTCAAAGTCAATCACGAACTTAATTCAATCCCTCACTCTGTGAAATTCAGGTTAAGCTCTCGACGAAGAAGAGCAAGAGCGAAATCAAAGAAGACGCCGACAAGGTTCCCTATGTTCATGTTCGTGCTCGGCGTGGTCAAGCCACAGACAACCATAGCTTAGCAGAGCGAGTAATGTCTTTGATTAAACTTAAACCCATAATTAAATTTGCACTAAGTAAATATTTTCTGCTAATTAAGAAATTCAACATCTCTTGTACTTTTTTTAATTATTTTTTATTGGGATTTTGCAGGCGAGGAGAGAGAAGATTAATGCGAGGATGAAGCTGCTGCAGGAGCTGGTCCCAGGATGCAATAAGGTTTGATTAACGTTTGTGAGATCTTAATCTTTGGATTAATTGGTTGATTTAGATTTTGGGGATTATATAATTGAATTTATGTCTCTATTGTCTCTTGAAAAAGTGCAATTATGTTTTCAGATTATGTTCTTTAATAACGGTTTTGTCCTCGTCAACTTTTTCACAAAAGTGCTTTGCTTTTCGACCAAGAAAAGGGCTCGCAGCTCGCTGGCTTGTGCCAGTGGTATTTCCGTAATTTCACTGCAGTTTAATTTTTTTTAATGAATGGAACTTTTTTTTTTCTTCTTCAATAAGTTGGAGGACAATTGGGAAAAAGGAAAGGTTGTAGTGGTGGGGGTTGTACTGGGTTTGGTGAGGAGTCCTTTTTAAAGGTTAATTTTGTCACATAAATTTATTTAATTTCTTCACAAAAAGAATTTCTTTTAGAAATAATTTGTACTTTTTTTTTTGGTCAAATGACAATTGTATTTCCAAATTTTGTATTTTAAGGTTTATATAAGCAAAATTTACTCTAAATTAATCTAATTTACGGGAAACGAGATTCAAACTAATTTACATGGAACGAGATTCGAACTTGGGTCATCGCGGCGGGCTCACTGCCATGGCCATATTTGCTGTATTTCCAAATTAGACTAAGGAGATATTAACTATAAAATAGCTGAGTATTGTTTTGAATGGCGGATATACCCTCATAGAGAAAGACGTTGTCATGGGGTAATGCTAGCTGGACCAAGGTTGTGGTGCTTGGGGGGAGAGAGACCCACATAAGATAGTGGGCATGTAGAATAGAATTACAGATTTAGATATTTGTGGGTCCCATCCCATCCCATCCCATCCCATCGGCATCTCCCATCAGCCATGGTGGGCCAGGCACAAGTTAAATGTTAAACCCTCTTCTGAGGGCGCATAGTACTATCAATCTCTAACGAGTTTGGCATCCATCCTTGCTTGGATGACGGAAAAAGGAAGACAAAAGAAAACCTCCTTTAACAAACTGCCCTCGCCTAACTGCGTGGAGCATGATGTATGATGTATGTGTATTGATGTGAGAGTCCACTAGCAATTTCAGTTGATTGAGCTCAACCAGAGATCTAAGCTTCCCAAGATTCCTTCATGCTGATGGCAAGTTTTTGGGACTTTCTGGGATAGTTTGTGAAATGACCTCAGAGTGTCCAGGAGAAAATTGTTAGAAGAAAAATCTGCAAATTACCCTTTCTTGGGACGTAGGTTGAATGAATATTAAAAAAAAAAGCTGGACTTAAAGAAAATCACTTTGCAATGGATCCAGTGAGCTGTACTCTGCTGGAAGCTGAGGGATAGTGATAAAATTTCCTAAGAGATCAGTATAGTTAACCCCATCTTGATATTTACTTTGTGGAAAGGTCAAATCTTGCTTATAAAGAGTGTATTTTTGATTGATTGTTCTTGACATGCATCCATATTTATGACCGTCAATTGCGTCTGCATCTTGCTATCAAAATATTCATGTTTCAAATGTCAATCCTCATGGAATTGCACGCTTCAAAAATCAAATCACTCTATTATTGTCCAGGGAAGTTGACTATTTCACTTCATCCCATTGTTCATGCAAATTCTTTGGTAGTTCAAACTGACACGATGACAATGCTTTTGAAAAATGGGAAATGTGAATCCATCACTGGATTTTGGTTTGAGATTCTGATTGTACCGTTTCTTAGATATTTGACATTTTTTTAATTATAAAAAACTATTTACTCTTGTTATGTACTATCTAAGTTTGGTCTGATCTGTAAATGCTCTTTACAATGAATATAACAAAGAAAATAATAGATATCCAACTTTTCTTTATGGGTTTAAATTTTACATGAGGAGTTGATATTTCAATCATGAGAGGGCTCTCCCATTTACAGAATTCGTTCCATCTTGTTGGGTTGAATATGTTGAGCAAACTTTTTCTGTTAAATGTTCTTTAACGATTACCTTGAATCATTTGAATATTTGTGTGCATCTTCTTATAAATAGATTACTCTTCCCACTTCCAGAATCACTACCTAAAAAAATTTTGCTTTGCAGATTTCAGGCACCGCACTGGTTCTGGATGAAATCATCAATCACGTGCAGTCCCTACAACGTCAAGTTGAGGTCAGACCTGCTGCACATCTCATACATCTCAAGTAATAGTTTTAGCACTGAAATGAAAAGGCTTGACTTTAAGAATTTGGTTGGAGAATCCTTTATTCCTTTGTTCCTTTGAATAAAGCTTCAACTAACTGATGGGTTCTTCTTCACCGTATGCAGGCTAGTGGAATGGTATCCAGGGATATGTGATTTAACAGTTGGATATGTCCTCTAAAATCCCTAGCTTAAAAACATTCATGTAAAATTGGGACTATCTGATTTGTTTCAGTGCTTTTTTCCCAGTATAGCATTTCCATTTGCCAAAGGTCTAAGAAAGTTTTACCCCCTGAAAGTCTGAAATTATTTGCCAAGTAGTTATCCATCAGTATGGATATAGACTCTTCATCCTGTCCATGCATACATCCATTTTGGTTTTAGCTACTTTTAGATGCTTAAGTTATTCCCTTCTTTTAGTTACAATGCCAGAGAGAAGTCAAGCAATCCTAGGGAATGAAGTTATCATACTGGTTATTTCTAACTATCTTTTACTGCCATGTTCTGATTCTGGTAAAATTTCATTTGTTTCAGTTCTTATCAATGAGACTTGCGGCAGTCAACCCAAGAATTGATTTCAACCTTGATAGTATATTGGCTGCTGAAGTAAGTATCATGCAGCTCCTTTAAATACTATTCTATTTTGAAATTGAGAAGCTAATGAGGCGTCCTCGTGTTTATCAGTGGTTCAGTATTATTTTCGGTGGTGTGGATGCATACCTGGCTGCTTAGGGGCCTGTTGCCATCATTTGCAAGTTATGCAAAAATATTAGACTTGTTAGTCGCTTCATGGTTTGACCATTAATTATATACTTAACAATGGCAGTGTAGATTAGCTAACAGTTTTATGCTGTTTTTGGGTTTGCGTCATTAAATACTGCTAGCCAAATATTAAATGACGCTATTCAGCGATCAAATGTCAGGCCAGTGGATGAGCTTTGGAGGCCCCTGTTTCTGTCTACTACCTGGCTACTTTTATTTATTTATTTGGAATGGTTTTTAGATTATGATAGATAATTGTCAGTTACCATCAGTAACCAGGCAATCTATAGGTTGTTTACATTTAGTGGGACCACTGCAATTGGGGGTCCATGAATGAGTTTTTTTTTCTTCTTCTTTTTCTCTTTGTTTGAAGTAGAATTGTGGTAATTGATAGGCTTCACTACTTCATGGAGCAAGTTCTACCCTTAAGTTAGTGTCATATTGATTGCATATTACTGATATATTTGGCTATCCTCCACAACTTTCAGAGTGGATCTCTAATGGAAGCTAACTTCGCCAATATGGTTACACCTCTGATGTGGCCAGAAGTCCCAATCAATGGAAACAGACAACCGTATCATCAGCAATGGCACTTTGATACTAATCAGCCTGGTTGGGGGAGGGAAGAAGAAACTCATACTTTCATTACTCCAGAGACCTCCCTTATCAGTTGCGACTCTTCAGCAAATTCAGGTAGTCCGATATGAGTCTTATTGTTCACGCATCTCCTTATGTGTCTCCAAAACCCTTTGCCATTGGCAGAGTGCTTTTCATATCTCATTTCAGGCCAACTTTTCAATTGATTCAAGAATTTGATATAGTGTGCTATCCTCACACTCGATGCAGTCATATTGTTGATGAAAAATATACATGAGGTGCAATTTGTTTATTTTCTTAGCAGAAAAGTAACATGGAATAATGAGATTTAACTTCTTCATTTCATTATTGTTGTGCAGCAACTCTGCAGAGAAGTCATTTGAAGATGGAGATGTGAAGACGACGTAATTAAGTTCTACTGGTAGAAGTGTATATATCAAGTATAGTATTTTAGCAGTTAGCAGGAAGTAGAGGAAATGCCTTGGTATTCATGGCGCGTTTCTTTGGTCTCTATTTTTCATGGTCAGTTATGAATCCTGATTTCCCTCTGTCTAGAGAGGGAGGGAAATAGGTTTGGTATGTTATCCTTATGAAATATATTTATATATATATATATACTAACTTTGAGGGTCATTCAATCTAATACTTATTTTTTGAACTCTTTGATTGGTTCCTATTGTAAAATCATTGAATGAACCATTACTTAACAACTGTTATTGGAAGACTTCTTTGTTCAGTCTCAGTGTGTGCACCATCAACTTCTCTGCACTTTTTTTCTTTTTAAAACATAACAAGGGCTGAAACAAAGCTTAATATGGTTCTGAAACTGCTTCCTTACTCTTTCATAATTCCTGTTCCGATTACAGAATGTGGAATGAGCTGTGCTAGCTTAAGTAACGCATGGGCATGCGATGATGCTATCACAGCCTCTGGATCTTCGCTATAGGATTGGCAATCATCAACAGCTGTGCTAAGGCCGCACGCCTTGGGCGACTAACGCTAACATAATCCATGTGCCCAACTCGATCCCCCTTCAGTTAGAGTATATATGTCATGTAAAAAAAAGAGTTGATAAATCCATACTAAACCCTATTACCTAAAGTGAATCCAAGGAGAATTATAGAAGGGGGAGTTTCCCAAAATTTCCATTTGTTTCTTTGCATTGCAGTATAAAATCAAACAGAGTAACTGACTTTTGACTCCAGAGACCCATAAAGGCAGGCCAATTCCAAATGGCTGCTCCGTCTCCTCCTCCTTCATCCCTCATCCAATCAATCGCAGTCCCACTCCTCTTCTTCCTCTTCCTACTTCCTCCCCTCCAATCCAATCCCGCCACGTCACCCACCATCGAACTCCCTCACACCCTCTCCGCCACCACCATCTCCGTTGTCGACTTCGGCGCCACCGGAGACGGCGTCCACTACGACACCTACGCCATCCAATCTGCCATCGACAGCTGTCCCACCTTCTCCCCTTGCCACGTCACCTTCCCTCCTGGGCGCACCTACCTGACCGCCACGATCCGCCTCAAATCCGGCGTCGTTTTGGACATCCAAGAAGGAGCGACGCTCATGGGCGGCCCGAGACTCGAGGACTACCCGAAAGAGCAGAACAAGTGGTACGTGGTGTTGGCGGAGAACGCGAGCGACGTCGGAATCAGCGGCGGGGGGGTGGGGGGCGGTCAGGGGTTGACGTTCGTGACGCGGTTCGATGAGAGGAAGAATGTGATGGTGAGCTGGAACTGGACCGGCGCTTGCTTGGGCGACGAGTGCCGGCCCAGGCTCGTCGGCTTCATCAACTGCCGACATGTCAACCTCTCCAATCTCAGGTTGCGTCAGCCGGCTTACTGGTGGTGCGCATTCTAATTTTCCCAATATAATATAATATAATATATTTTCATTTTCATCCTATATTTTGTGTTTAAAAAATGACAATACTCGACATATAGGTATGGATAAATTGCCATTACTTTACGGTTCAATTATTGTGAGTTGGGTTCACTGACTTTTTTAAGCTAATCTGCAACATCTAATTTCACTGAAAAATGAATTTACAAATGGATTAGGTTTATAAACCATAAAAATATCCGTTTATATTATAACACGTGGGCATACTCTCTCCAATACTTCACCAATACTCTTGACTAACAACTCTGCCAAATTGTTGCTTTCATTTGAGTAATGAAGATTGGTCAACATTGTCTGCGAGAAAATTCTGTTAAATACTCTAGATATTGTTTTTTTTTTTTTGGTTTTGTTCGAAATCCTCTAGATATTGTTAGTATCCCATAGCATTGTTGTGTGCATTTTTTTATAATACAAATTATATTGTGCATTTCTTTTTTTTTCTTTTTCTTTTTACAAATTATATTGCATTTGGTTCCTACTTTAAATGACCCCAATGGTTGCTAGTTTTGAAACGAAGTAATGCTAGGAAGACCGCATTTATAGATTACCTTGTATAGCACCTCTCTAATAGAAGTGGAGAGAGAGAGGTGGTACATAAGGTAGTTTATAAATGTGGGCTTCCTCGCATTTTCCTTTGAAATATGCTTCTACCACATCACTTGACTTCCTCTTTCTCCTCTTCCAAACATTATAATTGTAACCGATCTCAAAGAAACAAATTAAAAAATTATATTGCCCACAATTGGTTTGGTTACAAGTACAAGTCAGTATAGTATAGCTAAATTTAACTGGTATTATTTTTCTCTTATTTAAGTTATATCATTTGACTATTGTATTTCTTTAACTTAACTTTCAACTCTAGCCATGCATCTGATGGAAACATTGCATAATTGCAGCTTGCACATTGTGCGGTGTGAGAACGTACTCATTCAAGATGTTTCGATTTATGGAGACTTCAACACACCCAATAATGATGGAATAGATATTGAGGATTCGAATAACACAGTCATTACCAGATGCCATATTGATACTGGAGATGATGCTATCTGTCCAAAGACAAACACTGGTCCCCTCTATAACTTAACCGTAACAAATTCTTGGATTCGAACAAAGTCTTCTGCAATCAAACTTGGTAGTGCTAGTTGGTTCGATTTCAAGGGTCTTGTGTTCGACAACATCACTATTGTAGATTCTCATAGAGGCCTGGGATTCCAAATCCGTGACGGAGGTAATAATTTTGTTTAGCTTTTCTTGTGTTATATTTATGTCCATTATTTGTGCAGAAGAAAAAAAAAATGACATCCCATTGTTATATGATAAACTGCTTATCAAAGTTACAGATGAGATAGCTTGAAACCAAGCTAGAAATTTGAATGTAAAAGTTCCAGACTAATCACTTGGGACTGGCTTCTGTTTAGCAAACCTCTTCTTTCTGTGGCTTGTATGATGTCTGTCTTCAGAGTTCAGACTAAAGATTTACAGGTTAAAAAGTTGAAAATGACTAAGAAATTGGTTCAACTAAGTAGCAGCTGGACTTGGTGACGTCGAACATTAGAAATTTTCATTGCTCGCTAGCTCTCATAAATCTCTGTGTCACGAGATTACTGATGATTCACCTTGTGCAGGAAATGTGAGTGACATTACCTTCTCAAACATAAACATCAGCACAAGATACTATGACCTGTCCTGGTGGGGCAGAGCAGAGCCTATCTACGTGACTACTTGTCCGCGAAACTCAAATTCAAAGGAGGGTTCAATCTCTAACCTACTCTTCGTCAACATCACTTCAACTTCTGAGAATGGTGTATTCTTATCAGGCTCTAAAGGGGGGCTTCTTAGTGATTTGAGATTCATTAACTTGAATCTGACTTACAGAAGATGGACCAATGACGCTGGTGGGTTGGTAGACTACAGACCAGGATGCCAGGGACTGGTTAATCACATCACAGCCGGCATCATCATGGAACACATTGATGGCTTGGTGATTGACAACGTTAACATGAGATGGTCTGATGACCCGTTAAGGCAGTGGAATGATCCCCTGGATTTCAGGTCGTCAACTGTAAATAACATATCTCTGCTTAATTTCCATTCAAGCTTGTTTGTACAGCCGGTGAAAGAGGGAGAGAGAGATTAGGAAGAGCCACAGAATAATGTCATTCTTTTGATTGTACATTTGGGATGGATTCGAACTTTTGTGACGCAAGGCCGGCCACATGTTTTCATTTCTAGTGTATGTGTATCCCCGTTTGTAAGAATGCAGGTCATTGTGAATAAAGAATACAGTATGGTTCAAAGTTTTATGAGATTGAAGGCATGAAATTTGTTGTAATTACTGCTCTCCTGAGAGTATAGCTTCATTCCTTGCACTCCAAAAAAGCCCCTTCTTTTGGCAATTTAACATTGTCAAAACCCATCTTTTTTTTTTAGAATGCGATATTCTAAACTACTCTAATGTATCTAATGTATGAGGAGCTAGATCCAACTCATGGGTAAGAGGATGGACATATCGAGCACTAGGTGGGCCCACTCTATGAGTTGTGGCAAATCTTAAAATTTTCTTTTTATTTCTTTGGTAAATATAAAAGCTAAAAAGACGATTATGCTTCTCTCAGGCCTAACACATAAATAGAAGAACCAAAAACCTCTTCAATTTGGACCTTGAAGTTCTTCAAGCAGTCCAAACAATTTTGAAGGTTAATAATAGAGGTGCTGGTCTCTTAAAATTGATATGATCCGAAAATTAAGCTTATTTTATGATGCTAATCAAGTAATTTCCTCCATGTCCAACCAATTTGCCCGCCAACTCTCCCTTACCTCATTCCCTCCAAATTCACAGAATTTAAATTCTCTATGCTCCAACGGTCAACTGAGAGAAGCTTTGGTGGAAATGGCCGTTCAAGGCCTTGAGATGAAGTTTGAAGGCTACTACACGCTGTTAAACGAGTGTGTAAACCGAAGGGCCTTCAGGGAAGGCCAAAGAGTCCATGCCCACATGACCAAAACCTGTTACCTTCCGCCTATGCACCTCAGGACCCGGTTGATCGTCTTCTATAATAACTGTGAATGTTTGAATGATGCACAGCGTGTGCTCGATGAAATGCCTGTACGAAATGTGGTGTCATGGACGGCAATGATTTCGGCTTATTCTAAGAGGGGGTATGCCTCCGAAGCTTTGAATCTTTTTCTACAGATGTTAAGATCAGGTATTATTGGTTTTAGTTCTAGTTTATAAAAGTGGGTCATTGAGACATGGCCGTGAGTAAATTGTCAGTTTTTCTTGCTTAATTAAATTTGGTCCTGGTCCCTCAGAAAGAATAAAATTTGGTCATGGTGATTTCTTTTTTCTCTTGTTTAACAGGGTCTTCCTGTATTGATAATTATCTGTAAACTTGGCAGGTACGGAGCCTAATGAGTTCACTTTTGCAACCGTACTTACTTCATGTAGTGGTGCGTGGGGGTTTGACTTAGGAAGGCAAATCCACTCTCTCATAATAAAAACAAAGTTTGAATCACATATATTTGTTGGAAGCTCACTTCTCGACATGTATGCCAAAGCTGGTAGAATCTATGAAGCCCGAGGAGTTTTCGACTGCTTGCCAGAAAGGGATGTTGTTTCATGTACTGCTATAATCTCTGGCTATGCCCAGCTGGGTCTTGATGAAGAGGCTTTGGAGCTGTTCCGTCTGTTGCAGAGGGAAGGAATGACTTCGAACTATGTCACTTATGCCAGTGTGTTAACAGCATTATCAGGGCTTGCTGCGTTGGACCTCGGCAGGCAAGTTCACAACCACGTCCTTCGTCGTGAATTGCCCTCATATGTGGT